CCCAGCAGTCCAGAGTCTTTTGCCGCCTGCTTTCATCACCCTTGAATGCACCTGGGAAGAGGGCAGGACTGTCTCTTACTGAAGTGTTGGAAACTCAGAGCTAGAGCTGGTGAGACAGCTCTGCCAGCCTTGCCCCCACGCGCCAGCTCCTCTGAAGCAGTTCCAGAACTTCCTGTGGACCGACAGTGAGAGGCAGAGAATGACGGGGGAAACGACCTGTGCTGTAACAACCGCAGTCCATTCTTCTCAGACACACACACACACACACACGCTCAGTCTGACACACACACTCACTCAGTCTGACACACACACGCGCAGGCGCGGGAGGGGACTAAGAGAGGGAAGCATGATTAGATTTTATCCACCAAAAGAGTCATGCAACTGCAAATGAGTCAACTGAAAAGCTCAGGATCTCTCCCAAAGCTGTTACAGCAGGGCCAACAGGTGAGATGGGCAGGCGGGCACAAGAATGGAGGTTGTAGCCTGTCCAGTGGGCTGGCATGGCGTCGGGTTAGTCTGTGGTCATGGTAAATATGCTCCATCCCGTTCACCTGGTTTGCACCTTCCTAGAGCTGCCCAGTGAGCCCGTTTCTTCACGTGGTTTCTTCGCCGCCGTGTGAGACTGAAGTACCTTATTAGACTGCCTGGCTAGTGAGAGAGCGTTTCAGCTCCTTCCCTTCCCCATAAGCCCAGGGCCCAGGGCTCAACTTAATTCAATGGTCTTGAGGGTTGGCATGGGGAGGGGGAAGCTTTTTCTTGAATCACCTTGTTGGTCACTGAATCTGCCATTTCCAGAGTAAGTTTTGCTTTATGGAAATCAATTCACTAAGAAAGATCGCATTCAAGTTGCAACGTCATTTCACAGTGAAATATTTTGAGTAAAATTTTGTTGCTAGAATAGTCATGGGCAAGAGTTTTATCAGCAAAATGTTTCAATTATGTTAATAAATAAGACAATGCTACCTGAGTCTCGTGTCTTGCTTTAGAGTGTTTTCTGCTTGTGAGTTGTCGAGTGAATGGCTTGTTCTTTAGTCTCCTTGATGAGAGCCAGCAGGTGTGAAGGTGTAGCCAGTCAGCTGATTGATCCCACACAAGCAACACATAAGGAAGCACAGCCCACCCAAGGCTGTCAGCAGGGAAGAAGAACCAGCCCATTTGAAAATCGTGGCAATGTTCTCTGCTTTTAAAAATAGATTCTGAGCTCTTACTTAATTTGTCTTGATACGGTAGGGGTTGGCTTCTTGGGGAAACTAGTAATTTATGAAATGAAAATTTATTTGTGAACATGAAAAACTGGAATAACTTAACTCACTGGCATGAACTACCTTCATTAAAGCAGCAGCCATTAAACCTAGAATTTGTTTGGAAAGGGTAAACAAACAAAACCGAACTAATGTGTTAATTGTTCGATTCTGCTGTGAATACTGTTATTTCCCCTTTTGGTGTTAACACATAGCCTGCCTTGGTGCAGATCTAAATTGGGGTTGTCATAGAATATCAGCTGTGATTCAGAAAGTAAAAAGCAAGTCCCTATTAGAACAGCCAATTTAAAGATTAACTACGTGGGAGCCTTGATGGTGTGGTGATTACACACCGGGCTGCTAACTGCAAGATCAGCAGTTCAAACCCACCAGCTGCTCCTCGGGAGACAGGTGGGGCTTTTCTGGTCCCATAAAGAGGTGTAGTCTCACAGGGGCAAGTGCACCCTGTCCTGTGGGCTCACTCTGAGTCGGCATGGACTTGATGGCAGGGAGTTTGAGATTTTTTTTACTTGGTTGTCAGATTAAGTTTTTAAAAATTATTTTGGTTCTTAGCCCACTTTTGTTGACGATGAAAACTCGCCAGCCTTGTGAGTATGTGTGTGTATGAGGGGTGGGGTGGGTGGGGTGTTGGTAGCACATCTCAGTGATGCTTGGGAAGCCTGATGCGTTCAATATTTATGTGTGTTATTTTGCTCACAAAGCTAAACACTGCTTTTCATCTTTTCCTGTCCTAAGAGGATGGCGTTCTGCGAGCCTATTGAAAAGTGGGCCTCGTGCTGACGTGATTTGCAGACGAGACAGGAGCGGACACACAGGGAAGCCTGAGCGCAGCGCTCCGCGGGATGCGCTTGTTTTTCCAGGTCTCCCGTGCTCTCCGTCTCCAGCAGGGTATGGTCTCAACACCATTTGAGCACTCGCTTTGGTGGAAACTATTTGCATTTTCCCTCCGACAGCTTTTGGCTTTGCCGGATCTTCGTAGGCATGTACGTTTCTGCCCTGGTAACACACAAGTAAGCTTCAGCTGCTGGGCTGTGCTGAAACTGCAGGGAGCCAAGAGTCAGAGAAAACAGAGAGAAATCCTCCTCTGGGCTTCCCAGGTGGGAACACTGAATCACAGAAAGAACGCACCACATTCCCATGACCATGTGAAAGCTTTCAACGAAGACATGATAAACATATTCCCGGTCCTTGAAATTTGGTCCAAACATGGAGCGTTGCTGAGTATCTTCTTATCCTTCTCTCCAGCCCCTCGAGTCCCGAAAAGAAACTGCATCCTGGAGTCCGCTCCGAAACACAGCTGCGATGGAGACATTAGAGCGGAGGGATGGTGGCATTCTCCAAACAGCCCCTCTCCAAACAGAAGCCCCTCTGAGTCAAGCCAGATGATGATGATGTGTATCATCGTCTGTTAACAGCACATAACTCAGAAAACTCTCTGTTTTCCATTATGAATTACTGAGGAGAAATGCAAAGGAAAGTGCCTGTATCTTAGCATGACCAGGTCCAGAGAGACAAGAGGCTAGTTCCTTGGTAAACTATCTCTAAGCTTTTCACACACCCCTTCCCACCCAACCTCCAGCTCCTATACCAACAGTCCCAGAAGCCAGTTTCCCATTCCCTATTGCTACTAAAGGGTCATCTCCCATTGGCCATGGAAACCCTCCTTGAGGTTTCTTGCATGCGATCCAATTGAGGGATCCTGTTATGACTCATCACTCAGTCTGGCAAGGGCGCAAGAAAGAAATGTCTCCTGCAGATGCGGGGTCTTTGTAATAGAGTAAGTTATTGACACATATATCTGGTCAGGGGACTAGTTGCTAGTTGCAAGGGATGATGGACAAGATGCATCACTAAGTATGCCAGAATGGGATTTCTAAGAGTTCTGCCACAGAACGCATATATCCACGCAGTGATCAAAGCCGTCGGAAGGCTGTGGGTCAAGGTGGACAAAGGTCAAATCCTTTCTCCGGCCGTCAGGGTCGCTACTGGTGTATGTGCCATCCAATGAATCGCATACTCTGGTGATCCACTAGGACAGCGTGGCACTGTCCCGGTCGGCTTTGCTAGGTGGTGATCTTCTCAGGAGCAGACTACCCGGCCCTTCCTCCTGTGAAGCCACTGGCAGACTGACCTGTCAACCTTTCAGCTAGGGAGCTGAGCACTTAGCCATTGTGCCCTGGGGTCGCAGTCAGGGGGCATGCTTGTAGTTTTTGAAAAGGCATGAAAACCTACCACAAATAATGATCTTTACCTCCCTTTTAGAGTTGACGAAAAACATTACTTCTTGCATCCCAGCTTGGGCTGTCTAGAAATCAGTCCTCCTTCACACTTCGCACGAAAGCGCCTCCGGCATTCTCCGGATCAGAACAAGCAAGGCAAGGGGCTCAAGACTAGGAAGAGAAAGGTGCTAACTCTTGGACCCTCCGCTCTTTCCATAGCATCTTCATCTCTATGGTGCTGGCATCTCCACTTGGGGCTGAGAATTGAGTAAATGAGAAACTGACCACAGACTTTGCACAATCATTTTGTATTTAACCACACAGCATGGAAAGCCAAGGAAATACAGAGGTGAAGTAGCACCAGTCTTCTGGGTGGAGCTGGAAGTGCCTCTGGATTCTCAGCCATTCCTACCAGTGGGTGTCCTCATGACTCAGCGGCGTGTTGCAATGGGCCGTGGAAAGGGGTGGAGTGACCGCTGGAGTGGCTACAAGTATGCGCTACCCAGAACTGTCTCTGCTTTGCCCAAATCCAAGGGGTCCCAGGAGAGTGTCTTGCAACATATGTTCTGTTGAGAAAAGAGGTTGCAAACCAAAGGCTACTGCAGTAAACACTGCTGTGATCCCGTTTGAGAAGTTTAAATTGCTGTTTTCTTAATGTCTGGCTTCCTCACTAGACAATCAACTTTGAGAGGCAGAGACTGGCACCACTGCACCCCCAGCTGGAGGCACACAGCAGGCATCAATAAATATTTGTTGTATGATTGGATGGGTGGATGGATGGATGGATGGATGGATGGATGGATGGATGGATGGATGGATGGAAAGATGGAAGGATATGGGTTCTACCTGGCTCAAGTGTGGATAGGAATATTCTCTGCCCGGATGGGAGAGAAAGACAGAGAGAATAAGGCAAATACATGGGCTGGTTTTTTTTTTAAGTGTTTAAAGAGTGGGATCGGATTAGAGTTAATAAATCTTCTAGATAATTTCCCCCTTTTTGAGGCCCATGCCACATTTTTCTACCATGTTGAAACTCCAAAGGAAATACTTTCCCAAGGTTTGCTGTTTGCTAGAAGGAACTGCTTTAAGAAAACGGCCATCTCTAAGATGCCGTGGCATCATTAGGAGAAAGGCGGCTGTTCCCAGGCCCAGAAGAATTTGGAGGTGGCAGGGCCCCCAGCAGCACTGCTCCAAGGGAACCAGCCCAGCGGCCCTGGTGCCTCCCTCACTTCTTCCCGTTTGAGAGCGGAGCACCTGGTCCAGGGGCTGGGGAGGCGAAGGAGCTCCGAGAAGCCAGCAGCTTGCATTGGACAATCCAGAGCCAAACTAGTGTACCGGTCACAGTGCGAGTGGGTGTCTCTCTCTGTTTTGACCTTAGGAAGGATTTTACGCCCAGGCAAAGCCAGAGCATTTTCCTGTGGTTCCACCATTCAACGACTGCACTGACCGGCACCTCTTGTCCCTTCTCCGGGACCCACAGGTTACGGCTTTTCTGAAGGAAGCAAACCCTTGCCCAGGCAGTTTGTCCTTCCATCCAGTCTATTCTCTGGGACCCAGGACCTTGATCAGTCTCACACCCAATGAGATGTTCCTCATTCCCTGGCCTCAGAAAGCACATAGCCTTGGTGCAGTAAGACATCTGCTTGGCCAAAGTCTCAGCGTTGGAGTCAGGTTCTGTTGACCTGAGCACGCCCATTCAGCATGTCCCAATGTCCCCACCCCACCCCACCCACATGAGCTGGCTCCGGAGCCCTAAAGTCTGTGTCCCAAGATCCTAAATTGAGAAATCTCGATGGCAGCTTCACTGTTGCTCAAGAGCCAGAGTGTTGTAGCAGCCTGGGGGCAAGTTATCTCTAATGTCCTCCAGGTTTTTCACATCAGCCAGAATCCCATCTATGCTCCTCTGCAGGGAAAGGAGGTGGTCCTTCTGCCGACGTGCCCTCTCTTCCAGCTCGGACAGCACCGGCCGCAGTTGGCCGTTGATCTGGCTCTTGGCTCGGAAAAGCTTCTGCTCCAGTAAGTTCAGGCTCTCTTCATCCACAGCCCCGGGCTGGTCTGTTGGAGGGAATGGAAAAGTAGTTAACACCGAGACATGGGTCACATCTTCTGGAGCATCGGTGGTCTCTTCTGTGCCCCGAGCTAATTCCTATCCCCACCTGCCCAGAGCAAGTAGCATGCCATGGATTTAACAGATAGTTAAAGGTAAACATGATCTAAAAAGATTCTGAGAGCAGTAGCCCAGTTTCAGGGGTCGTAAAACAGCCCAGCTCAAAACTCTGCGCTCTCGTGTTCAGCAAGATAAAGCTTGGATCTTTCCCTTCGTGCTAGGGCCAACAGTCCATCCTCTGAAAAGAAGAAACGTTAGAGGTCAGAAGGGACCGCGCACCAGCCGAGGTGTCTGTTCAGCACAGCTCGCCCTTAGGATCAGAGTCAACTCCAAGGCAAGCTTTCAGAAGGCCCTGTGGGGAGCAGTTTGTTGTTTTCCTTCTAGAAGGCCTTTAGAAACTGGCTGGGTTCAGGGTTTATGAAGGCCAAGGTATGCTTTGTGTTTGGGGATGGATTCCAGCTGCTAGGAAATGATGTAAGACTTCCTTCTGGCTTGAAATAGTGGGAATCTAGCTAAATGTTAGTCTATGCTTAATAGGAAGCTTAGGCACATTGTTCAGGTATGTTTCACCCACGAACCATCTAAAATGAACGTTTGAGATTGAAGGACCCCTGGCCAGTGCTGGCTCAAAGGGGCTCCAGTGGTCCTCGAGCCGGTCAAACCCAGGACTAGCCGGCCCCACGCATCTGAGCTGCAGCAAAGGTACAGGATTGCCCTGTTGGGTTCAGTGTCCCTAGAGCAATGCATTGCTCACGGTCTCAACCAAGCACGGAAGATAGAAACAGCACCTTAACAAAAGGTGGGCCCAATGGATCTTTTCTTTACTTGGAGTGAGGAAAATCCAAAAGATGTATCCAAGTTCCACGGCATACAAAGAAAACTAAATAAGCAGAGGGACAGAACACCCATGCCAGTAGGGAGGCACCCAGGAGCTGCCAGAGAAAGGCACACGCATTAGAGATGAGGAGACCTCAGTTCAAATCCTGCCTCCATAATTGACAAGGCGACCTCCAGGGCATTATTACTCTCGGAGCCTCCGTTTCAACCAGGCCATCAAGACTGACTGCAACTCATAGCAAGTAGATTGGCCTCACTGTGCTTCCAGGTGATAATCTTTCTAGAAACAGGCTGACACGGCTTTTCCCATGGAGTGGGTGGTGGGTTCAAACCCTGACTTTTCAATGAGCGGTCAACCACTTCACCACTCTACCCCCAGGATGACTTTGCGAGCCTCAGTTGACTCCTTTGCAAAATAACATAGTAAAACCTTCCTTCTGGAACTTTTCTAAGACTTCAGTGATATCACACCAGGGAATGGCTGGGCACAGTGTTTGATACAGGTTGTTGTTAGCTACTGTGGGCACACAGGAAATGCTTCATGGGGCCTCTCAACCTCAGCGGCATCACTAGGGGTGTTGTCATCCATAGCAGTAACCCACGGTGCCCACGAGCCCAGTGCTATGCTGACGCACATCACAGGAATGTCAGATGGGACATGGTGCCCAAAGGGTGTGAGTGGTCCATATACCTCTTAGGTGAAAGATGCCTTCTGATGGGTGTTGGAGGTGATGTCACTGTTGTGATGGCCCCTCCCACTTCAGCCCCCACCCACCCACAGCCCTGCCCCCTCAGGCCCTGGGAGGTTTTGTTGTCACCCTTCTGACAAGTCCCCCTGCTTCTCCCCCAGTGATGTTACTCCTACCTGCAGCCGCATTAGCATCATTGCCATTTCCAGGACACTGAACAGCTAACATTTCAACTGGAGCCTTTGTTTAACCTTCGAGGGCACTTTATTCCACTGGCTCATTGGAGCACAGAC